AATAAAATTAAAAGTAGGTGTTTGTCGACTTTGTTTTCTTATTCTTTCCCCAAAATTACAATGCACAAATGCTGCAAAAACACGCATTCTGATGAAGGCGTGGGTTTTACTAAAAAACGCGAGTTCTATATCATTGTCTTGTGTTTTGCAAATAAAATTCACGCTGAATTAAACTTTCTCTTTCTTTGTTTTCAAACGCTTTTGACTAATGTGGAAAGCTTAAGCATAAAAAAGCATTATGATATTTTATTTTTTTGTTTTTCATAAAAGTCCAAATTATTTTTACTAATAAGAAATTTTTGAAACAAATCGATCCTATATTACCAAGGTTATTGACCAGACAAATATATCTAGAAGTTTCAATCCTTATCTTTGAACTAAGCGATAACGGAATGCAGTCAAATAATTATTTTTTCTTTTTATTTTGATCGGTGAACCCGTTGAATTTTTTAATTTTAAAATAAGTTTGAATAATTGTTCTAAGTTTATAATTAGTTGGTCAATTCTGAGGATATTTCCTCTTGCAGATGTAGTTCGGCTCCATATCGTCTTTTTTTTGATCTGCCAGATGGGTCTCGTCTGTGGTTTTACCCATATTTAATCTAATTGTAAGAAACCGACGGATCAAAGGGTTTCCCTGTACACATTTGAAGAGGACCAAGGCTAGGTTTTTCACTTTAGTAGAATATTGTGAACATCCCTGTCTAACCAAAACTGCAATAATGGCAGACCAAGATTATAACCGGTAACGCACAAAAGGACCACTCGAAGAGACAAGAGGCAGTGCAAATCCGTACACGTTGAGATTTATGTGTCTATCGGCGTTTTAGACTTGTCTATAAAACCAGACATAAGTGAATATTGCTAGACGCCGAAACATGCCTTACAGGCTGAATCAGTAAGTATGGGTCAGGATAAAACCAAACTACAGGTTCATCAACTGCCATAAAAAAACTGGCCAAAAAGTCCCAGGTCGAGAGGGATTTTCTGACAACGAGGCAGCAGATATTCTTGCCAAAAGAAAGCCTCGGAACAACTTAAGTCCAAAACCATTTTATGGCATAAACTATATTCTGGATTTGGGAATTTATTGGGTACGTGGTTCTACCCAATAAATTCTCAAATCAAGAGTATATCAAAGTTGGTCGATAACAAAATAACATCATAAACTATAGCTACATTAAAATAAGAACTCGAATCATGTATAACCAAACAACAAATACTGGATGTGTGACATGAGGCAAGAAAGAAGACTCGCAAAAACCAACCCAATCGGAGAAAGGGAAAATCCTACTCAACAGAAAGGCACTGCAAACTGTAAACTGGTATTTACAAGACATGCTCCAGTAAAGTACCATCTTTAAAAAAATGGAAAGTACTAGCTAGGAAAAGGCTATGGAACCTACGAAAACTACCTATGCAATTTTTTGATACCATACCACTCCTGAGATTAAATCACATAGGGAATCCATTGCAAGGGATAGGGATAAGCGAGGCGGCCACAAGGCCTACTGCACCTCGACCTGAATAGATCTATTGTGCTCCCCTGTTATTTATAACTCTCCGGCTAGCTTCAGGTTATTAACCAGCCTCCACAGCTTTGCCACCGGTTCCTTGGTGTAGGACTTGCTCTTGGTTTTTCTTGTCCTAGTTGCAAGAACCTGCACCTACATAGACGTTCAGATTAACATAAAATATGTTCTGCGGTCTCCTCTTTTTCCTGGCAGTATCTGCACAATTTTTCTTCTGTCCACGCCTATCCGATGCATGTGCTTTCTTATGTGGCAGTGCGCTGTCAGGAGTCCAACCTGGTTCGGTTGCAGTTACCTTCCAGTAATTCTTTTGTACGTTTTGCGGAGGTCCTTCTATGAATCTATTCGCGTGCCTCATACCTGTGGTATTGTTCCACCAGGTTTTGGACTCATTAAGGATCCATTTTAAGATGTATATTCTTTTGTGGCAGGCTGCTAGGTCTCATCCATTGCAAGACAGGCGCAGTAGACGAAATGCTAATGGGAAAAATTCATACGTCTCCAAATGAGGAAAACAGGTTCATCGCTCCTCAGACCTCAAGAAGAAATATCAAAGTTCATGTACTGTCAGTCTTGTAGGGTGAAACTGTACTTTATCTTAAAACGGCAAATGGCAATGCTAAAAACGAGCTAAGACGCCAGGTTCATTCATCTATCTTTAATGATTACTGGATGTACTAAAATCAAAGAAGAAAAGTTTTTGTCTAGTTCTACGTCTTCCTTATGTACACTGCCTGACAAAAACAGCGAAGATAGGCAGACATCAAACTTTATAACTCAAAAAACGACCTACCGAAGAGACAACAGATAGTGAATCTGAATCGAAAGTGTTAGTTGTGACTTGTGATTGCATCGACGTTTTAGCTATGTTATTTAAAAAAACAGACACTAGTGAAGACGGCGAGAAGCTGAAACTGAGCAGACAGACTTTAATTAACAAGGATAGTTCAAAAAGATCGGAAACAAAAATATCTGCATGTACCTGTTGGTCATGGTGAAATATGATATGAAATTTAAACCAAATGGCAAACGGCAATACCTGGATCAGCTTTTCCTACGCTTTAATGCCTAATGGATGGATCAAAGATAAACGGGTTTTCTAATAGGTCTTCTGATGGTTCCATGGGAATGGTTAAGGGTTTTGCTGCGAAGGTTGTCCAGAATAATCGAAAATGATGATGATGGTCGTCCATGGTTGGCTCTTGTATTTGATGTATTTTGAAAATGACAAAGAGTGATGTATTCTCAAAACGGGTTAGATGCTGGGTTCATCCATTTCCCTAATGAATACCGACCAAAACAACGAAGATAAACAGACCAAACTACAAACGATATTTAGGTCGATCATAACGTTTTTCTAGTCACATTCAATATAAACATCTACAGATAGGTTAAATTAACAATGTTCGAATTGTCGTGAGCGCCATTCGAGTTTAAGACATTTGCGTAAACAAGTGGCAAAGTAGATCGATAAAGAACTGGAAGGGGAGATCCGAGTGTAGTAATGTGGGGATGTAAATTCTGTTTGAAGAGCTGGAGAATTAGTTTCATTGGAGGGTCCCTGGAACCTCGCCCCCTCGCTCCTTCTTTCCCTCTAGTTAGCGCCCTCGTTACTACACCCAAACTTTCCCTACACTTGCCAACATTATTCGTTCCTCGAAGGGCCCTCGGCCCCTCGCTAACGGCTCCTTTTTCATACGCAATTTCGCCAATAAAATACCACCGGGGGTTGAGGAATAAAAATAAATAACGCTGGGGTTGTGAACCTGTTGGCTTTTCCGTTAAGGGACCTGAGGAAAAGTTTTTTCTTCCTTATCGTTAGTGTTTACGCTGAATGGTTGAATCTAAAAACCTTTTCCAATCACAGTGGCTATTAAATACATATATTTTTTATTACTTATAATTTTCTTATAATTATGAGCTAGAGGGGTACTAAAGTTGCATGTACTTAGCATTTCTATAATACTTTTTTAATTGCTACTTCTTTTCTTAGGAACATCTTTAAGCCTTGTTAACTTTTAAGTCTAATATTCATATTAATATGGGCTAAGTTTGTCTGTTTGGACCAAAATTCCACCAAGTAGGTTCCATAAACTGCTTTTTCGATTCTTTCTTATTTTTCCTTTATTTAAAAAAAAAGGAAATTATCCTACTTTGTCCATTGTAAAGCTGGCTTTAGAATGCTTTCTTTATCTTGTTATTGCATCTGCCTTTTTTTAGTAACTGCTTCTTAGCAAAAAAATCCATTTATGGTTTAGTGGTCTAATTGACCAAATTACTTATTTCAATTAATTATTCTTTTTATGAAAGATCTTGGTTGAGATGAAAAAGTTGGCGTCACGAGCGGGATTCGAACCCAAGACGGGGAGGGAGTTGGTGTCCGAATGGATCGAAGTCGCGATAGCTCAGGTGCCTAGATCAGCCGAAGGACGTGGGTTCGAATCTCGCTAGTGACACTAATTATTTATTGTGTGGAATTGGTATATTCGTAATGATCAGTTTTTCCTTTTTCCTGAAGGAGATTTGGTTGGTTCATCTTTTTAAAAAGATAGTTCCTACTCACAGTTGGTTATTTTCATCGATCCGGATTTCAAGCTTATAGCCTTCATCAGGTTGTAAACTCCAAACTTCAAATTAAATAGTTATGGTTATTATTTCAATTAATTATTCTTTTTATGTAAGGTCTTGGTTGAGATGAAAAAGTTGGTTTCACGAGCGGGATTCGAACCCATGACCTTCGGCTCATACGCCGCTGCTCTAACCACTTGAGCTTGACTTCAATCCACTCGGCCACCAACTTCCCCGTCTTGGGTTCGAATCCCGCTTGTGACTCCAACTTTTTCATCTCAACCTCTTTCATTTCATTGAATGTTGGAAGTTACGGTCAAAGAATTTCCTTTTGAAATATTTTTCTCTTTTCGTAAAATTAGTCCTTTTTGTTTTTGATCATTTAAAAAAAACTATTGTTTGTAGTAGTGTTTAAATTGATTTTATAAAAAAAATTTTTTTTTTTTTTTAATGTATTGGCTTGTTGAAAGTATGAATTTCGTTGGTATTTAATTTCCCTTTCGGTATGCTTCATTGATCATATTGATCATTCCCTCTCTCTAAAATATAAATAAATTTAGTTCTAACTTCAAAGGGACGACAGACAAACAAGCGGAATGCAATAATTAAATATCAACAGGCGAACCTCAATGACTCCAGGCGGTGACAATAATCATAAATAATTCCAATAATAGATTTAATTAGCGTTTAATTGTTTTATCTTTGTTTTACTCGTCAGACTAACCACTAGCATGACGATATTTTTTTTATTCCTGAAAATGCCTCTTTAATTGCTCACCAGAAATTGGTGTGTGGTTCACAGGTAGATTCGAGGTGAAGGTACACGCATGAGAAATTTTCCGGCTAATTCGATTTGACCAATTTTTACTTATTTGTCTTTTTGTTTGTTTTATACGCTAGGTTTGACGAGGCCTCCCATGTATCCGTTCAGCACGGGTCAGTACCCTTATCCGATGCTTAGTCCGGAAATTTCCCAAGTGGCCGCTTCTTGGTAAGTTAAACCATTAAATTATTTAAGTTTATACCGCTTTATTTCTTACAAACAATATCCGAACAAATCCTATTCCTTAAGCTTTAAAAGTTCGATAAAATGTCCACGGATTATCAAAACACTTTCATAATTTTTGTAAGTTCATTAAGTCTTTTTCGATCCGAAGTGAAAACCACACGGTTATTTTCCTTTACCTTTACAAAAGCTCAAAGCAAGGGTAGCAGGATCAGAGGTTTATCTACTTGACACAATCCTTATCACCTTATTTGCCCCCCATTGAGCCCTTCCTTTGCTCCCTATCTTACTTAGAACACCTTATCCTCTTTTTCCTTTCTTATTTTTTTTTGTCAGCCAACCCTCCGATTCCGTTGAAATCTACTTATTTCCCCTTTGAGCTATATTTGAAGTGGGGTACATTCTTCGTCAATTTGTATGTAGAACGGTGTTCTATGACGGTCAAACTTATCAGCATCAAATCCGAGTGTAAACAAGTCAAATTTCAGTAGTAGGGGTGTGGTTAAATATTGTTTCGATGAGGGCAGACAGCGTGGGTAATCGTCCGGTATAGAGGGGTCGGTTAGTTTGTCCGAGATTTCCTAAGTATCCCAAAGCCCTACTTTTTCCTCAAGACCACCCCTATAATCACTTACTTGACCATGTCCCCCTTGGGGATTCACTCATTGTTGATTCTTTTGTTTACAGGCACACGCCAAGCATGTATCCTATAAGCAGTGGGAGCGCCGGGTTCAGGAGTCCGTATCCTTCCTCTCTGCCTATCACCAGTTCCAATCTGGCAAGGTCAGTTGATGCTAATTTCGCTGTTTTCACTTTACAATATGCGGTTCTCTGTACACTCGTCTCTCTCCGATACGAATGACGACATTGAACATCATCAACAATAGCGGGACAAAATTCTATTTTTTTTATAGAATCATGAAATCATCATGATAAAATCGCATTATTCAGCTTGAGCCTTAAAATATGAAAATGTTCAATATTTAATAAAATATCTCTCTCTGTCTTCTCATTGCCTACATTGTCTATTTATCTATCTATCTGTTCTCTATCTTGATCTATCTGTTTTATTTCTCTCTCTCCCTCTCCGTCTCCCTCCCTCTATCCATTTCACTTTCTCTCCCTCCCTCTCTCTCTCCATCTATCTCTCCCTCCCTCTCTCTCTCTCTCTCTCTCTCTCTCTCTCACACACACACACACACACACACTTTCACTCACACTCTCTCCCCCTATCTATCTATCTGTTCTCTATCTCGATCTATCTGCCTGTTTTATTTCTCTCTCTTCCTTTCGACATCATTCCACTCTTCTCCAAAAAAGTATTCTTTATAGATAGAATCGTTAAATCATCATGATAACATCACATTATACATACAGTTAAGATTTGAGCCTTAAAATATGAAAATGTTCAATATGTAATAAATCAAAGGCTAGGTAAATTTCAACATATCTCTCTCTCTCTCTCTCTCTCTCTCTCTCTCTCTCTCTCACACACACACACACACACACACACACACACAATCTCTCTATCTCTATCGCTTGCTTGGGTGTGAGGTTTTTTTAACATTCTGATATAACTTTTTTTCCATTTAAATAGATAACAAATCGAGGATAGCACTAATAATTAAGTAGCTTCCTTTGAAAACAGAGAGCCAATTGGATAGATGGGTCGGCAAATACAATTTATCCTGCAATTATTTGAAATGGGGAGAAGAGAGATTTCCTTTTATGAAGTGTTTGCTCACAGTCGGAAGTATAAGGGGCTGAGGCGAGGGAGTGGCATTAGCGAAATTGAAACGTCGTTTGATTGTATCAAAAATCTACATCCTTGTTTGGTCTGTTACAGCGATTTCTACAGGTTTTCGCCGACAGGACTGATGGGCCCCCACCCGGGGCTCTCGCCTCATTCTCACCCCGCTATAGTTACCCCAGGCCCCAAACAGGAGCTTCAAACCAACGACCACAACCACAGGTGAGCCACTTATCTATATTAACACAGGATTAATTAAATAATTACCGCGTGAGATGATAAACGATATCGACGAGTTAAGTTATTTCGGCGAAGGATGAGGATTGGTCAGCGAGTTGCTAGGCGACCGCTCTCCGACTTGGGAATATTCTCGTTTGAACCGATGCTTCTGCATTCCCCGTTCTTTCCCTTTATTGCATACCACTTCCTCTACGGTTTTCTCCCTTTTCCGATCCACGGAAACCCAATCTGTTGCTGAAACAGGACCTGGAGTCGAAATTGACGGCAAAAAACCTCAGACGACAAATCCCACCGGTATAAAAAATTACAGCTTTGTCCTTTTTTTTGTTTTTTTAATTTCACAAGAATCACGATAAAGGTGTGTAATTAATTACCTACAAATACCTTGACAATAATAAAAATATTTATGATTGGGAAAATATCAACATTAAAAAGTGAAATATTATTATTCAACAGAGTAAAGAGAGGAACGATTCGTTTTTACACATCTCATTTTTCTTTCGATTCTAATTCTTCATAAATTTTAAGCCTACTGCTACAAATACAAATCAAAAAAATTTAGATTTCTCCGTAGTCTGATGAACCTGAAATTTGTCGTTGCCGATCATTTTAGTCTGTTTATCCTCACTAGATTGGTCTGTCAGACATATTTTTTTTTCTTTTTTAAGGACATATTATACATAGATATCTAAAAAAAAGCCTTCAGCACAAACACAATCAACAAAGTAGTAAACAAGGGGCGTCGGTGGCCGCAACGGTTTAGGCGTTGACACGGCGCTCATCACTGTTAGGTAAAGGTCCCGGGTTCGAATCCAGCGGCCCTGCATTCGAACCCGACATCCTTACAAAAGAGCTTTTTTCAAAAACACCGGCACCCTGAGAGTTGATAATACTCTGCTGTTACGAACCCTCGTAAAAAATTTTTTTAAAAAGTAGTAAAACAAATTGGACACACAAAAAGAGAATATATATATAAACAATTAGGCTCAAAGTCAGCACAGTAGACAATAAACACAAATGAAAAATTCCTGACAAAATATCTACAAAGCCACCAGCTCAATAGAAAAAAATTAGATTAATATATTAGTCAAAAGACAAGATGAAAAGTAAATACATACAAGAACACAGACTAGATTAGACTCAACTTGAAATTCCTGACTGAAGATGGTGAAATCCCGAAACTGGCCTGGCAGTCCAACCCATCAAGGATAGGCAGACCTAAATGATCGGTAACCACCAAATTTCAACAATTTGTACCACAATATTGACTTCAGGTCAAAGCTTATAAAACCTTCATTGAAATTTTAAAAGGACGATTAACTACATTAATTAATTTGTCGAGATAACCTAATATTAACGATTACGTTTTCTGCCAGGACTTGGGAAGAAACTGTTAGCTAAACACCTCGCATGCTGGATATTTATTGGGTTGTCCGGAAAATAATGCAGGATTTTGGTATTAAACAAAAAAAAAGAAACTAGTTACTTTAAAGCAATGTTCTTTAATCAAAATAATTTCCCATACTCTCAATACATTTCTCCCAACGTGTTGGTAACTTATTAATTCCGTCTGAGTAGAATTCAGAATTTTTAGAATTGATAAAGTCAATAAATGCATTTTCCAGTTCCGTTTGATTTTTGAATATTATGTGTTGTAAGTAGTGGTCCAGGTGTCTAAAAAAATGGTAGTCAGTAGGCGAGAGGTCCGGAGAGTAGGGTGGGTGAGGCAAAGTTTCATAGCCAAGCTCCAATAATTTTTGTGACGTTACACGTGACACATGTGGTCGAGCGTTGTCATGCAACAAAATGGGCCCTTTCCGATTGACCAAAGAGGGCTTCATTACTGCCAATTTCTGATGCATGGTATTAATTTGGTTACAGTATGATTCAGCATTGATGGTTTCGCCAGGATTTAAGAAGCTGTAGTGTATTAAACCAAATGAAGCCCACCATACCGTAACCATTACCTTTTTTTGATGAGTTGGGGGCTTTGGAAAATGTATTGGAGCTTCTCCTTTGTCGAGCCACTGTCCAGAACGTCTAGTGTTATCGTAGAGAATCCACTTTTCGTCACATGTAACAATTCTGGCCAGAAATGGGTCATTTTTGTTTCGACAAAGAAGTGATGCACAAACATCAAAGCGCTGATTTTTTTGGCGATCGTTTAATGAGTGTGGAACCCAATTTTCGAGTATTTTCACTTTTCCAATCGCCTTGAGGTGGTCAGCGACGGTCGTTTTACTGACTTTGAGTTGCTCTGCAAGTTCTCGAACAGTTGTTTTGGGGTTTTCTTCCACCACTGATCGCAGAACATCATCATTAAGAGAGGAAGGCCTTCCACGACCTTCTTCATCTTCAAGGCTGAAATCTCCCTCCCGAAATTTTTTAAACCACCTTTGTACAGTGCACTCATTAACACAACCCTCGCCCCAGACTTGGTTAATGTTTCTAGCCGTTTGGGCTCCGCTTCGGCCGAGTTTAAACTCGTAAAAGAAAATCGTACGAAATTCTCGCTTTGACATTATAAGGATGACTGAATTATTTCCAAGTAGCGGAATGCTACAGAGGTAAACAAACAATATCATTTGGAAGAGGATTAATAAGTACGTAAACAGAATATTTTATATAGATTTTTTTTAATGAAAACTTAAAATCCTGCATTATTTTCCGGACAACCCAATACACAATCCGCCACGTTTATGTGGAATTTTGGAAAAAAAATGTGTATAGATATTATTTAGAAGATAAAATTGGCTCATTTGGGGCAGGTGGCCTCAACGGGTAAAGGCGACTCGTTACTGGAAAGGGTTCGATCTGAGAGGCCGTGGATTTTTTTTTCTAAAATTCCGAAACTGGGAGGGGGTTGATGTGATCTCTGCTTTGTTAATACTCGTTAAATATATAATATAATAAAAAAAATATCAAACATTTAACAAAATAAAGATTGAAAGTCAGTGGTAAATTTAGTGTTTAGCAATTAGTTAGCAAAAAAGTGCAAAATTCTATAGATTTGATACTTATTGATACTTGATATTAAACATATTTTAAAATTCATACATTTATGTGACATAGTTATATATATTATTATTCGTTACGTTTCCCCCCTGAAGATGATCTCAATAAAGATCGAAACGTTGGCACGATGAAGAAAATATTTTTCTAAAACCTACGTCAAACCAAACCGCATCTCGCGATCTCCGAATAATCATTAACTGTCACTAAACACCACACGTATATTTGTTGCAAATTTTTTCCATACATAATGTAAATAAAATTCATCCACTATTTTTCCAATTTAGGACCAAAGACTTATACCGGGACGAGTTTTCCCTGTTTCGAATGTTATTATTTTCCGTTGACTTCACGTATCAACGGGTCAGGCAATTTATTGTTTCGTTTGGCCGGAATGATTACTAATCGTACGGCTCCTCGGGGCATCCCTACCGGTCAAACCTATCGGTTATGATGGTTTAGCAGTACCCCTTGCCAAATTACAGCCCGTGATAAATTCTGCCTTTATTAACACTTTTCGTTTTTGTACTTTCCTGCTTACAGAGAAGTAATTTATGTATTCTAATGAATTTATTTTAAAAAACAATCTTTTCGCACTTACTTTCCTTTTGTTCTAATAATAGAAGATTGTTCTATTTTTGAAATCCGTTTTTGTATACGATAGTTTTTTACAAAAGAGAGGCTACGGACATGGTATCGCCGATTTCAATAAAACTTTTTTGTTGGTACTGTTGAAAAATATTAGGCGAGCGCCCTTGCATAAGGGCCTTTTTTTAAAGCGAGAAACTTCAAAAAAAATTTTGCGCATTCACTGACTAGTTTTGTTAATTTTTTTACACTGTTGCTTTAATAACTAACTGCTTGGCTATTAGATATTGAGGATTTTTTGTGTAACCTCTTTTAAGATTTTCTAGGGCACAAGCATTAATATGTATTTCTCCTTGAGAGACCGAAGTTTACGTCCCTGGGTTTGCTCACGTTTTCGGTTTGTACAAAAAAACACTCCTTTTCCTTTTTTTATTTTGGAGCAATCTATATACCATATCATTGTATCTGATGCCCTCCTGTGTTTTTTCCTCTCCTTTGTAGTCTGAATGAAGGCGCGAAGTAGACTAAAAAGATTTTTTTCTTAGAATCAAAGTGTTTTTGTTTCGTATTTTTCGCGTTCCAAACGATTCCACTGTTCTACAGGAGACATGGGGGTTTCAAACATGGTGGCATAAGGATAAACCGTTAATAAATTAGAACCTGAGATGTAAAATAAATCATTTGAGCGGTTTGGTCCATTTCATCCTTATTTTTCTCACCTATAGAGACATAAAATCTGAACATTGTCGACTTAGCAATGAAGTGATATTCAGCTTTCTAACGGTTGTCATAACTTCTTTCAATTAATTAATCTTTTTATGTAAGGTCTTGGTTGAAATGAAAAAGTTAGTGTCACGAGCGGGATTCGAACCCACGACCTTCGGCTGGCCGTACATTGAGGTAGGGTAAAATCCAGGGGAGTTAGGAATTTTTAAGTATAAAACCGGACATCGGCGAGAAAAAAAATAACCCCTGTTCGTCATCCAGCCCAAAAATATATGTTTTATCGATTGCTTTAAAAATTCGTATTTAAGGGCTAGGAATTTTTAAGTATAAAACCGGACATCGGCGAGAAAAAAAATAACACGTGTTCGTCATCCAGCCCAAAAATATGTTTTATCGATTGCTTTAAAAAAATCGTATTTAAGTGCTAGGAATTTTCAAGTATAAAACCGGACATCGGCGAGAAAAAAAATAACCCGTGTTCGTCATCCAGCCCAAAAATATATGTTTTATCGATTGCTTTAAAAAATCGTATTTAAGGGCTAGGAATTTTTAAGTATAAAACCGGACATCGGCTAGAAAAAAAGTAACCCTTGTTCGTCATCCAGCCCAAAAATATATGTTTTATCGATTGCTTTAAAAATTCGTATTTAAGGGCT